TTCTATGTGTGTACAAGCCGTTTAGATTGTCAAAAAAAAACTGTGTTTTTAGGGTTATTAACAAAGTTCGTGTACTCAGACCAGTAATATTTGGGGTCACAAGTTTTTGCCATGGATATTTTGTGGGTCAGAAGATAAAAGATTTGGGAACCTCTGCACTACACCCTAAATCTAACAAAAACTTAATTTACACCTTGGTCCTAAACCTAATTCCTCCACCCAAAATCAGCCTCAGAAGTCATGGGGACCAGGCTTTGGTTCCCACAAGGAGCATTTGCTCCTGACGAGGCTGAACTTTCCTAAAAAATCGTTCCCACCAAGTAGTATAAGCATGGTGCACACCCACACACACACTTACTCACTTACACTCCATGCTGGATGCTGGACAGACAGTGCCTTATCACGATCAGAGTGTCTTCCCTTATTAGGCTATGTCTCCTGCCTCCACAGAGCCAGATGAAAAGAGACATTGCCTCACTTCTGTCCATGAAGGAACAATTAGCCTGCAGCTAATCCCATTAACCAGCCTGTAAACGCTGCTCACGTTTTCCATTCAGTCTAATCAAAAGAGCCCACTTAATGCGTTTGAATAGTCATTCATCATGTGTAAGTGTACATGGAAGGTTGAGCTGACCCAGGGCCAACATCACTGGAAAGATTAATGTAGCTGGAGAAGTGTTTGTTCAGGTTGTAGCAGTGCTGTGCAGTACTAAGTTGAAGATAGATATAGTTTATAACCTTTTAACGTTCATGTAAAAACAGCCCACAAACTGCAGCAATAATCTGAAATCTTTCCTGTCAGTTCTTCTCCTTCAGACAAACTGAGTCAGACATTTTGTGCCAGATGTTTTCTTATCTTACCATCACCACTGGAGACTGGAGTGGCATCACACTTGCTCTCACACTGCTGCATGGTGGAAGGCCGGAGGGATTCTGCACACTCATTTGACTGCTGTCCAGTGTAGGACAGACATGTCACTGTCCTCATCTGCTGTCCCAGGCCACACTGAGCCGAACACTGAAACAGAAAGACGTTACAGCACAGCTTAATGCTTGTGCTCGACCACAGCAGCCAATAAATTTAACAGAGAGCATCTCTCTTCTGAGACCCTGAGCAATGTGCAAAAAATAAAATAAAATAAAATAAACAGACACACTTAGCTGTTATGCAGTAATTCATACACAAACTACAGACACACACTGTAAACCTTGATCCAATCAATCAGCAGGACATGAAGCCAATGAGTCACCTTTCCCGTTTCATTTAGCTTCTAGTCCAGGGGTGGGCAATCATGGTCCTGGAGGGCCGCAGCCCTACATGTTTTATATTTTTCCCTGCTCCAACACACCTGATTCAGTCACTGAACTACCTCTTCAAGTTCTGCAGTATGGAGGACCAACACTGACATAATTAGAAATAAAAGCATAAATAGATAAATGAAACTTTAAATAAATAAATACATTTAAAATGCACCAAATAAGTTACTTTACCTCATGTTTTTTAATTTAATTAACCTTCATATTTATTTTTTCAGCTGAGTTCCAATAAATTATATATTTTAACACATAATTAAAATTTTTATGTTTTTATATATTTTTTACATAGTTTTTCCTTTTACTTGTACATGCGTTTGTGTCTCTTGAATGCTTAAATTGAATTACTTTTGTAATTTTGTCCAACAAGTCTTTTTATTTCTTTGTGTTGCATGCTTGTGTTGCTGCAGTTTAGCTTAAAGTTTAGTTAAAAATAAAAGCACAGGTAATGTTTTCCTCCTTGCCTTTGTTTTAAACTAAAATTACAGACACATAAATGCACGTAGAAGTAAAAGGAAAAACAATTAATATATATTAAAAAAAAACAGTCAAATTTAAAATATGTGTTCAAATATACAGACTAATTTATTGGAAAAATAAATATGAAAGTCAATTAAAATATGAAACAGGAGATAAAGTTCTCCTTTTTAAATTTAATTTGTGTATTTTAAGTGTATTTATTTAGTGGTTCATATAATTCTGCTTTTATTTCTAATTATGTCAGTGTTGGTCCTCCGTACTGCAGAAACCTGATAATCATATATTCCTTCATATCAGGTGTGTTGGAACAGAGAAACATGTAAAACATGCAGGGCTGCTGACCTCCAGGACCAGGACTGACCCTGCCTGATCTAGTCTGTCTGCCTTTAGAATTAGAGCTCAGCTGGTGCTTAAAAACGATATTCATACCTATGAAATTTTGACCTATTTGATTTTAAGGATATTTTCATGTACTTTGTAACTTCTATTTTAGAAGGATTTTCATTGTGGAGCTACAGTATTTGACATGGTCTTAGTACTTGAAATTTTTTAGAAAAAAGCTGGGTGTGTTAAATTTTTTATTTCTGCAAACATAAAATTGCAAGCATCAACAATTTTACTGTGTTAAACATATTTTTGGAGGGGTAAAAACAATTTGAAAACAAGCTACAGCAGACATTTTTTTTGCAATTTGCAGATTGTGCCTCTAAAATAACTACATCCATCATACCTCTGATCACTCTGAGTTTGTGGTTTTATCAGTGGTGCGCCGTCAGGGCCAGCAAAACCTTCTCTTATTCTTATTAGGCTATTATTACTTTTGAAATATCTGTTCTCTTCGTTTCACAGATTTTCTTTTGGCTGTGCAGATTCCAGTAGCTTGTATTTATTTAGAGTTTTTATCCAATCATTTTTCGAGCATCAACTATAACTAGGCTCCACAAATCTGCCTCAGGCCTTCGGAACAAACAGTGAAGGAACCTGGAGGGTGAAACAAACGGCAGTGATGCTGGTGCTTTGACCAATCAGGTGCTGAGTTGGAAACACCAGGGGCCTCATGCATAAAGGGGTGTGCAGCTTTCACACTAAAAGTTGGCGTAGGTACAAATTTAGAAAAGTCCGTCTGTTTTCTGCCACTTATCCAGGATCGGGTCGCGTGGGCAGCAGCCTAAGCAGAGACCCAGACTTTCCTCTCCCCAGCCACTTGGACTAGATCCTCTGGGGGAATCCCAAGGTGTTCCCAGGCCAGCTGAGAAACATAGTCCCTCCAGTGTGTCCTGGGTCTTCCTCTGGGTCTCCTCTCAGTGGGACGTGTCCAGAACACCTCACCAGGGAGGAGTCCAGGAGGCATCCTAACCAGATGAACCACCTCAACTGGCTCCTCTGGATGTGGAGGAGCAGCGGCTCTACTCTGAGTCCCTCCTGGATGACTGAGCTTCTCAGCCTATCGCTAAGGGAGAGCCCAGACACCCTGCAGAGGAAACTCATTTCAGCTGCTTGTATCTGTGATCTCCTTTTTTCAGTCACTACCCAAAGCTCCTGACCATAGATGAGGGTAGGAACGTAGACCGACTGGTAAACTGAGAGCTTCACCTTCTGGTTCAGCTCTCTCTTCACCACAACAGACCTGTACAATGCCTGCATCACTGCAGAAGCAGCACCAATCCACCTGTCGATCTCCCGCTCCATTCTTCCCTCATTTGTGAACAAGACCCCGAGATACTTGAACTCCTCGGATAGTCCCATAGTCTGGGATTTGGAGGCACTGATCCTTATCCCGGCCGCTTTCACACTCGACTGTGAACCACTCCAGTGAGAGCTGGAGATCAGGATCTGATGAAGTCAACAGGACCACATCATCCACAAAAAGCACAGATGTGATCCTAAGGTCACCAAAAAAGGATCCCCTCAACACCTTGGCTGCTCCTAGAAATTCTGTCCATAAAAGTTATGAACAGAATCAGTGACAAAGGACAACCTTGGTAGAGTCCAACTCTCAACGGAAACAAGTCCGACTTACTACCGGCAATGCGGACCAAGCTCTGGCACCGGTCATACAGGGACCTAACAGCCTGTATCAATGGGCCTGGTACCCCATACTCCCAGAGTACTTCCCACAGGAGTCCCCGAGGGACACGGTCGAACGCCTTCTCCAAGTCCACAAAACACATGTAGACTGGTTGGGCGAACTCCCATGAACCCTCCAGGACCCTGCTGAGAGTGTAGAGCTGGTCCACTGTTCCACGACCAGGACCAAAACCACACTGCTCTTCCTGAATCTGAGATTTGACAATCCGATGGACCCTCCTCTCCAGGACCCCCGAATAGACCTTACCAGGGAGGCTCAGAAGTGTGATCCCCCTATAGTTGGAAAACACTCTGTGGTCCCCCTTTTTAAATAGGTCTGCCAATCCAGTGGAACTGCCCCCGATGTCCAAGCAATATTGTAGAGTCGCGTCAACCAATGCAACCCCACAACATCCAGACCCTAAAGGAACTCCAAGCGAATCTCATCCACCTCTGGCACCCTGCCACCGAGGAGCTTTTTAACCACCTCAGTTACCTCAGCATAAGAGATTGGAGAGTCCGACCCAGGGTCCTAAGGCTCTGCTTCCTCATGGACGGCAGGATTGAGGAGGTCCTCAAAGTGTTACGCCCACCGACCCACAACGTCCCGAGTTGAGGTCAGCAGTGCACCATCCCCATCATAAACATTGTTGGTGGTGAACCGCTTTCCCCACCGAGACGCCGGATGGTGGACCAGAATCGCCCCAAAGCCGTACAGAATCCTTTTCCATGGCCTCTCCAAACTCCTCCCACGCCAGAGTTTTTGCCTCGGCAAAAAACTTTAGAAAAGTGTGCCGCACAAAAAAATTCAGATGTATAAAACTGTGCGCACGTGTGTTCCTGCACAACTTTCCTTTATACATACCAACAAACATGGAACTGAGCAATTGTAATATGTTTGGTGTGATACGAAACAAACAAACAAACAAACAAACCAAAACATGCTGTTCTCAGTTTTTCTTGTAGTGATATCACCCTACAGAAAAGCTGATATTTATCCATAAATTACGCACAACTTTACACAGCAACAAATCTATAGTCTGCGTCTTATGGAGCTGAGGAATCATCACAGCTGAGCTGTTCTGAATTAATCTGCTGAGTTGACAATGTTTTTTTCTCAGTCAGAATTAAAATGTTTCAAAGATAATTCACACATTTTATTTTCCTCAGCTGTGTGTGCGCTCTGCAGGCCTGCGCTCTGCATGTTTCCAACTATGTGACGGAAATATAAACACTTTACAGTTTACAGACTGGACTGAGGTTCTTTGATCATTTTTAGACTGATCTATTTTCTTGTCTGAGGTTAAATGATTTTCAGTCCCGGGGTTCAGTTTCATGATGGTTCGAGTTTAAACAATAAAAACTCAAACTAAAATAAAAATCTAACAGCGTGTTCAGACGCTCCTTACAACCAGAAAACACAACAGAGTCATATTTCTGTGGATTCAGGTCAGATTCATAACTTTGTGGGTTAAAACTGTCGGCTGAAAAACTTTGCGTGGCTGCTGCACATTCTCACGGCAGGTGAAAAGTGTGCGTATATTTACGCAGAATTTCACACAATGTTGGTTTTGATACATCCCAACGTGGGCGTAGAACCTGGCGCACACAACTTTTTTATGTGTACGCACCGTTTATACATGAGGACTCAGGGCCTTCACGCTGGCACTGAGTAAAATATATTTTATTTAAATGTTTTATTTAGTTGTCAGTTTATTTTGATGATCGTATTGATGCTGTATGTGGCACAGCTGTGGCTGCAGTTGGAGAAAAAATGTTAAATGTGACGCTTCAGTAATGACATTCATTCTGGCTTCATGAGACACCTGTCTGTGATGCAGCAGTATATTATCACCCATTATCTTCGTATCAACACATCAACGTGGCTGACAGGGCCGTTTTCTCCTCCATTGAAGCCCTAGGTGTAAAATGCACGACCCGCCACTGGGTTTTATAACAACTGTAAAAAGTCATGGTTTACATCACTTTATTCTTCTATTTAGTGTATTCTATGTGTTTTCAGCCATTCTACTTCCACGTACTTTTAGATATTTGATCTCAACACTTTCAGCTTAATCAGGAATAGTGTTATGAATTTTGTTTTTGTCTTTTTCTGTACCATCTGCTTTATTTTAGATTTAAAACAGTTTCAGCTGCTTGACCAAGTTTCTGTCAGTTTTGCAGAAAATGAATAAAACAACTCTAGTATGCTTTTAATCGTTTTGTGAAATACCGTTGAAAATGTTTCTTGACATGAATAAAGTTTGCTTTACATAACCATGGTTGTGTTATTTGTCTTCCTTTGAGACTAAGACCTGTCAGTGTGCCAGCTGTAATGAAACAGATTTCTCCATTAAATGTCCTTAAAAAATAATACTGCAGGTGCCATCTCACTTCAACACATTGTAGTGCTGAAATAATCTGTGTACCTCCAGAATGAATCAGTGAAGTTAATCTTGGTACTCTGAGCAGCCTTTGCAGAGCGTTCAAGTGCAGGATATAAACCCTGCTAACCCCCTCCTACCATCACCTTCAAAGATCTCATCCTGCTTCCTCAGATTAGAGGTCTGGCATGTCAACCCTTCCCAGTTAGGAAAGCTTTATTAGGGCCAGCTCTGACAGATTGCACACATCAATGAGGCAACTGAAATGGGATTTAAACTGGTAACCTTTTGGCCCAAACAACCAGGATCTCTAAAGTTGGTAAGAATCATTCCTTCCCGAACTGAAGAAGGGAACAAAATCTTGAAGGAAAGCATATTGCCCGCCATCTTTCATTCTAGAGCAGGACAATGACCTGAAACATCCATTTACAGGTACAATGCAGTGGTTTACATCAAATCATATTCATGTGATGGAATAGACCAGAACTTAATCCAATGGAGAATCGAAGTCAAGACTTGAAAACTGTTGATCACATGTCTGATATGAAGGCAATAGCTGCAGTATGACCTTAAATATGATATCAACCACCAGTCCTCGAATCCAGAGATTCTTAACCTGTGGGTCACGGCCCAATTTTGGGCCGAGCGCCACCTTGAGGGCCTCAAAAGAACAACAGTTTTTAACTTTGGGACACAGAGGGCCGTGGGACTGCATTGATTTTGAATAAGGTGCAATACACTTTCTCACCACTAGTAGCAGTAGTGCACCACTCAGATGTTTAACAACTTTTTTAATATGTAGAAGAAGAACCTTAGAAACCTGCTGAGAATGGAAACCTATTTTAAATGAAAAGTAGAAGGAAAAAAAAGAAAGTAACTCCTCAAAAAACACCAAAGTTTGTCACTAATATGAAGTGCAGCTTATTTTAAAAGTTCAAAACATTATCAAATACATTTGAAG